ATTTTCCCCCTCCGCTATTTTTTTTTTATTTCACTCACGCACACCACCACCACTGGTGGCCGACTGCCACCACCACCACAATCGGCCGCCGAACGCACATAGCGAGGTGGCGCTGATCACTCTCCCATCTTTTCCCTCCTATTCGCCGGTTAAATAAAAAAAACTCTTCTCTTGTTTTAATTCTAATCTAGCCTTAATTCAATTATTATTTTTAGGTTGTGTGATGATTTTTTTTATGATGTTTGATTATTATTATTTAGTATATAATTTTTAGATTTAGTTTTTGAATTAAAAAAGCCCCAAATTGACAACCCTCGATTTCTAAATTAATGTATATTGATGGAATTTAATTGCAGATGATTAATATTATTGAAATAGGTGTTTTTAAACATAATTACAATAATTTTACATGTTTTTATAAAGTTGGAATTTTTATATAAAGATTAGAATTATGTTTCTTGAAAGGATTTATAATTACCCATTAATTGAGAATAAAAGTAGGGGTTTTAAATTAATTTTTAGCTTATTTTAGAGGGTTTATAAGTGATTTAAAGAGTGTATATATTGCTAGAAATTTATATTGAATTGGTATTAATGTCTCTTTGTAATTTTGGGTTGTAGGAGATTTCCAAGTGAGTGATTTCGTGTAGTCGTGGCGATTTTGAGATCATATTCGAGGTACGTTCGCATACTCGGTAATTATTTAAGTGTATAGAAGCATGCTAGGCTTTATTTAATTAATTCCAAGGTAGTATCATGATAGGTATTGGTTGGAATTGTTGATTGGATTGATGTTGGTGATTGATTTGTGAAGCATGAATTATTTGTGGTGAATTGATGATCGGAATTAATTATGTTGGTATGTTGAAAATGAACCACACTTTTATTATTGGCATGATTGAGAACATGTATAATTAAACTAAATGTTTAATTGAGGTTGGAATATTGAAAGAAAATTTTATTATGGTTCATATAATTTTTATTGATGCTATAAGCATGAGAAAGGAGCTATTTAAGTGTCTATGTACACGAGGATTAAATGATTTTTTGGTGCTTAAGTACACTTAAGGTGTTCTAAACATCGAGGGGTAGAATTTGTGGTGCTTTATGCGCTTAAGGTGTTATTTAACACCGAAGTAGTTTAAAAAGGATTCAACATTTAATTTATGTAGTTACTAATTATTCAAGAATTAAATTGGTGTGTTTAATTGCTTGAATGATTTATTATGATTGATTTTATTATGGTTAGAGAGTCATCACCAAGTCTAAAAATATGTAAATCACGTAAAGTGAAAGAGATTGCGCACCAAAACTCTTGGAACATATATACCTCGAGTATGAACATATGGGGGGAGTTATGCGACTTTATATTTGACAATAACTTCTACTTGTAGTACAGGACGCTGTATATTTCTTTTTATTATGCGCAGGTATTCCGCCACTTAAGAGTGGTTCTTTTATACTGGCACGGTTAGCTCCCTTGTTAGTACCCCTTTATTAGGGTAGGTTAGGGGGAAACCCGTTCGATGCATAATCAAGCTAAATAAATAATCTAGTGATTTTTTAGTTGGTTATGTTGTATGTTGTATGCTTGTAAACAGGTGCAACAAGGTAAGTTATGTGATGATAGGATGAAAGCATGTTAGTGTGTACTGCTTACGCTTATGTACTCAACATTGCTGATTGTGTGTTTGTATGTTTGTTTGGCCTTTTCTTTATCTTGGCCCTACGACGACGTATTTCTAATGGCGAGTAGTGGGGACAAAGTAAAGAGAAGCTTTTCAGGTGACAAAGCATATTCATGATGGGCATGAGGGAAGAGCGAATCATGCTTAGTTTCCATAAGAATGTGAAGTGATTTATTGCTTCGAATATTATATATTTTGCTTGTGAGACTAACACAAAGGTTTTAAGTTTTATTTCGGTTTTAATAAGGGCCTACAATGGTTCCAAGTTGTAGGTTGACTTCGTTTGACTTTGGTTTGGCTTTACTTTCGTTTGGTTTGACTTTTAAGTTGATTTGTTTTGATTGATTTTTAAAGAGAGTCTTCCGCTGTGTGTCTTTGATAATTGCCTTAGTCGTTTTCCATGGTGGCGGTAATGTCTTAGAATTTCCTATTTCGTATTTTAAAAAAAGCAAAATAGGTATTTTAAAGGAAAGGAATTTCTAGGGTGTTACATTGTGGTTAGTTGGATTGAGGTTGACTTAAGGCTTGGTGTTGCTCGACTCATTATGTGACTCAATGTACTCAACTCGACTCAATGTGATGTGACTCAACTCAATATGATATGACTTGATGTGTATCTCGTGCATACGACTTGTGTGTGTAAACTCAACTCGATGTGGTAACATGACTCAATATGCATGACTCGACTCGATATGGTGATACAATTCAATGTGAATGACTCGTGTGTACATTGTGTGGTGATTGTGCTCGTGCAACTCGAAAATGCATAAAAGCAAAAAGTTTCCGTTATTTTTATGGAGGGTACCAACTTTCCCCCGAAAAGAAAGACGTGAAAATGAAAAGGGTAGAGTGTTGGTGAAAACTGAAGTTTTGGAACTTCCTCAAAAGGAAAAGGGATGAAAAGATTGAATTGAGTAATGATGCATGTTGAATGAGCTTAATTAAGTGTACGCATTAATCGTTGTATTTCATGGTGCAAGGATTGATGACCTGATAATGAAAGTATTTGGGCAACTTAGGCGCGGAGGCTAAGTACTTCATACTTTGTGATGTAATGATGATCGTGATAATGAGTGATTCTAAGATGACAAGGGGTGCTTAGAGCTGTATCAAGATTTCATGAGAAAGGGTCCTAAGGGAAGGATTATTCGGCTATATATGTGTTTGTGATGTGTGTGAGAGCGACACTAAGGTTAGGCTGCAAAGGCTAAGGGTGTGAAAAAATATTTTGAGAAGAGCTAAATGATGGTGACTCTTAGGCTGGGTAGGGATAAGTATTGGGGATCCCTTGATAGGGATCATGGTGTGAATATGAGTGAATACATTTTTATTATGGTCGCACCTCAATGTGAGGTTGCCTACGTATCCATTAGGAATCAGGCCAAACGTAGCTCTAGCCGAACCTCGCACAAGCGTGTGTACACCTCAAAGAGGTCTTTCAAGGGTTGTTTTGGGGTTAGGCTAGAAGTTGAAGAAGAAGGAAAAAGGCTTAAGACCCAAAATAAGCCCCCAAGGTGTGCAATCTTACATTTAAATCTTGGTATTTGTATGTTTGAGGTTTCTCTCTTTTGAACTTATTTTTATTTTTGCATTTGAAATTTATTTCTAAATCTTCTTTTGGATAAGTGTGGGCAATCCCGATCATGCAGTCTATCACTCACTCGACATTCATGTTTCTCAGGAACGGTATCGAGCACTCGATAAGAGACGCAATCCGAGACATATTCATATCAAAGACATTGGAACACTTGCCCTTTTACACACTTTTAATTGCTATTTGAACTTTAGAAACTTTAATTTGGTAACAATCACTCAAGCTTTTGCTTTATTAATTGCATAAGTTGCACACTATCCCATCCCAAGGTTAGGTAGATGTGGGTTGAAAAAAGAAAGTCCAATCGTTAGACGAGGCTTAAAGTGGTTTATCAAAAGAGATTGTATATATGAAAGGGGAAAGGTGATATAATGTGGCTACAAAGGGTGCCTCAAATCATTGGTATACCTTGTGTTTAGTTCAGCGTGGATTTTTTTTTTTTTTTTAATAAATGAAATGAAATGCAATGATCATTTGCAAGGAAATAAGTCTTCATGTTATTGAAAATGGAAAAGGGTAAAAAAAAAACAAACTCATGAAGTAAATCTAAGGAAAATAATAGAGGGTGCCTATGCTAGACTTATCAAGGGAAAGGGAAACCAAAAATAAGAAAAGAATCATGAAATCTTGTTGTTGAAGCCCGCCTCGTGCTTTGTGCTTATCATCACTCGGTCTTCTTGCCTGCTGGAGGGAATGGAACCTTGTTTGCCTCAATGAAATCTCGAATGAGGTTTTGAAACCTGTAACATTCATCTGTGGATGCCCTTTGCCTCGATGGTACTTGCAATAAGAGTTGGGACCAATAGGCTTTTCTGGTGTGGGACCAATAGGCTTGATTAAACCTCGATCATAGAGACGATCGAAAGCGATATCATAGGATATTCCAATAGGTGTGAACTCTCTCTTGAGTTTCTTGTCTTTTAAAGTATCTTTATCAAGGGCCTAGATTTCATCGGCATCGATGTAGTTACTATGGGAAGAAGCGGACGAAGGATTGTCGTTCTTCCTGCTCTTGCCATTGTCGCCATTGTTATTAGCCTTGGCCTTCTTATTGCTCGAAGGAACATGAAGGTAATTTGAATCAATGAGGTCTTGAATGCGATCTTTAAGGGTGAAGCACTTTTCGGTAGTGTGACCATTGCCTCTATGATATTTGCAATAGGAGTTTGGATCCCAATTGGGAGACCGTCTCTCAGGTACTGGATCTTGGATTGGACTAATGGGATGAATAAAACCTTGGCCATGGATCGAAGATAGTCGAAAGCTTCATTATAAGTCATTCTTATCGGTATGTATTCATCAATGGTCCGTTTTACCCGTGGCTTAGGAGCATTAAGTTTTTCCTTTAGTCTTTGATGGGAAGAAGAAGAAGGAAGGTGGTCGTTCTTTTCATTCTTCTGATCCTGGCGATGAGGATTTTGTTCAATGACTGATATCTGATTCGCTAGGTCTTCCACCACACTCATAAGCATGGCGACGACATCTCGAAGTTTATGAACATCTTCTTTTAGACTTGCTGAGTTTTCCTTGGTGACATCTAAGAAAACTTCTTCATCTTCCTCAATCATGGCCACTTCGTTAATGGTAGTTATATAGACTTCTTCGATCATGGGCTCATCAATAGGTGTAATGAGGAGAGAAGGATCAAAGAACATTTAATCTTCTGCGATGGCTAGAACCTCGGAAGTTTTGTTATCATCGATCAAATCTTGGATAGCTTATTTGAGTTTCCAACATTCCTCAGTATCATGACCTTTTCCTTGGTGGTACTTGCAATGTTTATTAGGATCTTGCTTAGGTGGTCTGGCTTCTGGGACTGGATCTTTGATAGGTCCTATGGGCATGACCAATCCTTTGTGGTGTAGTTTATCGAAGGCTGTTTCATAGCTCATGCCAAGTGCAGTAAACACTCTTTTCGACCTTTGGATTTGTTTCTTAGGAGTGTCTATGGAGTGTACTTCATTAATGGGAGAGGAAGAAGAAGGATGGTCATTCCTCTTTCCTTTCGCATTATTATTATTAGCAGCTGCCAATTTCATAAGGTCGTCTTCAATTTCGATGCCTATATTGTAGACAGCTTTGAAAGTGTTTAGGAGTTGATATTTCAGGTACTCTTGATACTTTTCTTGGAAATTTCTAACGAACATTCTCACAGACTTTTTTCCGTCTGGGGCCTTAATCATCCTAGCAGAAACTTCCTTCCACATATTATAGAATTCTGTTAAGCCTGCATTATGTTTTTGTTTCAAGATTTCAAGCTCTCTGTAATCAGTCTCTACTTGTACGTTGCACTGGTATCTCTTGACGAAAGTATGTACAATGCTCTCCCAAGTAACAGTGTCCTTGGAATCCAGAAAAGAACCATTGTTGACACACCGGTTCTAATGAAAGATGGAAGAACAAAGGGAAAAGTTGCTTGTTAGCCCCCTTAATGTCCATGACCGTTTCGAAAGCTTTCAGGTTGAAATAAGGGTTGTCTGTGGGTTTGAACTTAGGAATGTCAGTGGTAGAGAACTTGTGCGGTAGAAGTCCCTTATTCAGTGAGATTCCCTTGGTACTCCTATCAATGTATTTATAGTCATGTTGGCTTAATGTCTCTTCGATGCATTTGATTATCTCAGGTGGAACATATTTATCAGGGTCTTCGGCCTTCTCCATTCAAGTGGTGAGTCCTTTGACCAGTTCAACCAGACCATCCACGGTCTTCTGGATTTTGTCAACATCTTCTTGTTTGGCCGCCATTGGTTTCTTCTTCCTTCGAACCGTGTTCATAAAGAAGATCTCTTGAATGTAGGAGTTGTTTCGAACTAATCGACCCTTTTTCCTTGACCAAACGCTGTAGAAAGGGAAACCATGGACACTCATTGTCAATCACATGAATCGAACTCGATTCAACATGCATAGATGGGGAAAGATCATAGTGTATGATGTGAAGGATATGTATGGGGAAAGCGTGAAAAAGGAAAGTATGTGAATGTGGAAAGTGTTTGAGAAGAAAGGTATAAGTTATGTGTAGACACCTGATTGTGTCTCCCCGAAAACCAAACCGAGTGATTAGTACCTTTCACGTCTTTGATTATCAAGTTAGGTAAAGAGTTGAAGAGTCTCATGAAGTTACCTTAAGCCTTGACCATATTTCTAGCCTTACCTAAAATGTTTTAATCCAAAATCATTTATTTCATGCCTTTAAACCCAAAATTATTCATTTTGTGTCCTTAAAATCATTCATTTTATGTCTAACTCATAAAACATCCAAACAAGTCTATTTTAGTCCATGATCTCGGTCCAATTATTGTTTAGATGGATGGGGCTTGAAAAGAGCTTTCCAATGAAATACTATAAGCCCAAATCCGACTTATAACGAATAACTTATGGCCAAAATACTAAACTGAACCCGAACCAAGCCTTACCTGCGACCCAATGATCATGTGGAGGTTCCATTTACCTTAATCCCATTCCTAAACCAATTAGGATTTATTAAAAGCTTTTAGAAATCTCTAGAAGATTATTTTCGATCCTAAATCCGTTAGGATTTATTATGAGCTTCTAGAATCCTATAGAAGGTTCTAATTTATCTTGTTTTCTAAAGATAAAGATTTAAGAATTTGACTATGAATAAAACATCTCTTTTTTTTAAGATCCCAATCCCGGTCAAAATAGAATACGTATGGAAATTTGATTGACCCAATCCGATTGGAAATTGTATTCCGCACGAATTTTATCGATTCAAAAACCATCGCGGAACGACAGAACCATCGCGCCGTGATAGTTACATCGCGGCGCGATATTTCCATCACGCCGTGATGGACCTATCGCGTCGCGATGAGACTTGTTTTAGTCCAATTTGAATTCTGACTCTTTTCTGATCATTTCGACTCTCTTTTTTCCTCTATAAATGGAGGTCGTTTTACCCCGTTTTCAATCACCAACAATCATCATTAATACCCTCTCTGATATTCTTTCTCTCTCTTAATTCTTTATGTTCTTAGCTTAGCCTAAACACATCCTTCATACTCTCCCCAATCAAACACCATACCTCCTTTGAGAGATTTGAATATTCCTTGCCCTCCTCGACGTTGCCTTCGACCCCGATGTGAAAGGTTGATAGTTCTGAGGGTTTGGTCCCAAATCTATGTTTCAATTATTATTTGATTTATTTACTTTGTTGATTTAATCTTTCTTGAAGTTATTAACGTGTATATTGTTTTAATAGCAAGAAAGTCAAGCATCAAAGTGAGTAAATCTACTATCTTTATTCTTTGATTTTGGATTAGAAATCATGTTTAGAATATTATTTTAATTCCTAGTATCATGTTAGGTTGTCTTTATGATTCCTAGTATCATGCTTAGGATGCTTCTTATGTTTCTAGTATCATGTTTAGGATAATGCTTTGATTATGATTTTTAGTGACATGCTAGGGTTTGTTATTAATCCGTTTAGTATCATGCCTAGGATCTTACTACTAATAACGTTTTGATGATATAATTATGATGATGATTGTTGTGTCAATTATACGTTGCTTGATTATTCATGAATATCATAAGAATTAAGTAGAGGACGATTTAGGGAGGGTTCAATCTCTTTTAGGTTGGATTCGTACCATCATCCCCGAATATCCAGTCATAGTTCCGGACCACTATGGAGTTAGAGATCTCCATGATCGTGAATGGGGTGTAACCTTCACACCCGTGAACGGTTTACAAGTTCCTAAAACTTGTTGGCGACTTTTCTATCTCTAGCTTCCTTCCCTTGGAGTGCCGCCATGCCTAAAAGCATGAACACAGTGGGGCTCAAAAGGTTGAGTTTGAAAAATTCCCTACAGTATGTAATGTATGGAAAGTGATGTAAAGGGAAAGAATGTATTTGTGGAAAGATGTGGAAAAATCCAGGAATAGGATGGACCCTCAACTCGAATGACAGAAAGGATGACTCATGCATGGACCTAATACATGGTGGTGGTGTGAAAAAAGAGTATGTACAAAGTGTGTGCAAAGACTCGTGAGTGAAAGTGATATTTACAAGACCCGTGTTATGACCATGTGACTAGACATGCAGTTTGACTCATACAAGACCAGGGAAAGACCTCATATTGACTTTAAATTGGTTAAACATGGCAATGGGACTCGATGTGAAGACTCGGAAGGAAAGACAGAACCAAGGCGTTACGTTGGGACTGTCGCGTGGCGATGGCTCTATCGCGGTGCCTCAATCTTGACGTGTCGCGATGGTCGCCATCGTCTCGCGCCACAAGTCAGAAACCGTGCGCCATGAATTGAACATTACAATGACTTGTTTTCAGTCATTCCTTCAAAGGTTTAAGCCTAAAAGTATTCTAGGGTGAGCATATCTATACTTTATTAACCAAATTATTTAAGCAAAGTCCTTTAGGTTAGTATGTAAAGACATATGTACAAGAGAGAAGTCAAAGAAAACGGTTAGTTTAATCACAAGTAAGCTATGCACAAGTAAGAGATGCACAAGTAGTCAAGTAGTCACATTATGATGCAATGAGCTTGCCACCTAACCATAGCTCTAGTTCTCTAAGGTCAAGGATTATGGTGTCCAAAAGGGTCCATGGTTAAGAGTCCAGATGCATCGCGCGGAAGCCTTACCTTAGAAGGGTTGACACCATGGACGGGACCTCGCGAGTTAAACTCAACTCCGTGGTTTGGTGAATTCAACAAACCCATATGCACCCATCATTGCCTGGAGCGTTTATTAGGTTGGACAAAGCGTGAATTTCCATGGGCTAAATCCATATGTAAAACACATATAGGTTCGGAAAGGTCAAAAAAACTTAATCAGGAAGTAAAATCATCGAGACAATACTAGAATCAGGAAGAATGGGAAGACAGAAGGCTGGCGCAAAATCGCCAGATCTATCACCGGACGATAGGGAGCATCATCTAGCGATAACTCCATCGCGACGCGATGAAGCTGTCGTCTGGTGTCGGTCATTGACGTCTTGCGCTAGTTCTGGCGTTTTGCGGCAATTTCTATTTTCGATGTTTTTTTCGATTTTCGTAGCGTCTTTTCGGTTCTAGTTGTGAAAAATATTTTCGGCCTTTCCTACGTGTATGTCCTATGTTTTTTACGCATTACGGATGGTATTTCCATTGCGAACCTTTTATGTTTATGCCATAATGTTAATCCAAATTATGCACATGATTATCTAAAATCTTTCAAGTCTCATCCACTCATTTTAAATCAATTGCTAAAATAATTTTAGGAATCAATCTAGAAATCCTTCCCAGTGGAGTCGCCAAAAACTGTAGGGAATTTTTCAAACTCAATCTTGAGCCCTACTGTGGTTCATGCTTTTAGGAATGGCGACGTTCCAAGGAAAGAAGTTAGAGGTAAAAGAGTTTCCAACAAGTTTTAGGAACTTGTAAACTGCTCATGGGTGTGAAGGTTACATCCCATTCACGATCACGGAGATCTCTAACTCCATAGTGGTCCGGAACCATGACTGGATGTTCGGGGATGATGGTACAAATCCAACCTAAATGATATTGAACCAGACCTAAATAGGCCTCTACTCAATTCTAATGATATTCTTGTGCGCTTTTCGATCAACATACATACATCATATTAATCCTAAACCTGTTTAATCTACGTTGGTTGATTATTAATGCACAATCAAATCTATTATTGGTGATCATTTTAATTAAAATTATATTGGCCTAACTCAAATTATTAATTATCTTATTAGGCATGATTTCAAGTACAAATTCCCTTTAAACCTTTAAAAAGGGGCGTGATCAAGCAATAACAATAAATCATGAATAATCAAGCAACATATGATTAATATAACAATTATCATCATCATCAAAATATCGTTAATAGTAAGATCCTAGGCATGATACTAAACAGATTAATAACAAATCTTAGCATGTTATTAATAACAAAATCAAAGCATTATCCTAAACATAATACTAGAAATCATAAAGACATCCTAACATGATACTAGAAATCATAAAAACATGTTAAGCATGATACTAGGAATTAAAATAACATCGTAAACATGATTTTTACCCCAAAATCAAAAGAATAATTAAAGAGATAATTGAATTACTCATTTTGATGCCTCAACCTTCTTTCTATTAAAACAATACCCACGTTAGTAAATTTCAAGAAAGTTAAATCAATAAAGTAAATAAATCAAATATGAATTGAAATAATGATTTGGGACCAAACCCTCAGAACTATCAACCTTTCACGTCGAGGTTGAAGGCAATGTCGAGGATGTCTAAGAGTATTCAGGTCTCGTGAATGAGTTATTGTGAATGATTTGGGAGAGTATCAAGGATGCGTTTAGGTTAAGGCTAAGAATAAGGGGATCAAGAGAGAGAATAGATGATTAAGATGATTGTGATGATTGTTGATGGTTGTTGTCCGTGATCTGAAACGGGGTAAAACGACCTCTATTTATAAGGAAAAAAATAGAGTCGAAGCGATCAGAAAAGATTAGAATTCGAATCGGAATAGAACAGCTTTGATCGCGGCGCGACAGGGTACATCGCAGCGCGATGGGACTATCGCGGCGCGATGGTTCAACTGCTCGTATCGTGGGGCGACAGGCTTATCGCGATGCGACAGAGTCCATCGCGACGCGATAGGACTATCTCGGCGCGATGGTCCTATCGTCTTGCGATGA